AAGCCCTTTATAGTTTATATAGAAGTATTACCTTTTATTTAACTTCTTTATTAAAAGTACTAATACTATAGCTAAAGATAAGCTTATTTTTATTTAGCTCTTATTTAGTAAGGATATTAGCTATTTTTATAGTTTTAATAACTAGTCTTAAAGTATATAGTAAAGGTAGTTATATAGTAGCTATTCTAGTATATTATCTAGTTTAGTTTTAATCTTAATCTTATAATTAAACCCTTCTTAATAAGGTAATAATACTACTATATCCTCCTTCTAAAAAAGGTCTTTAAACTCTTTATATTACTAAAGGACTATTTATTTTTTAACTAGCTTTTAGTAAAGGGTAGTATTAATCTTATAAATACTTATTAATATAATCTATATTACTTTATAATATTCTTTAAAGTCTACCTTAAGCTAGTAGTAAAACTAGCTTCTACTAAATAATACTAAGCTACCCTTATTCTTCCTATAATCCTTTATATATATCTTTTAATATAGCTTTATTTTAAGATAAATAAAGCCTTTTTCTATATTTATTATTAACTTATAATAAATAAGCTAAGGTAGTTTAAGTATTATTAGTCTTAATAATATAGGTATTATATAGAGTAAGACTAAAAATACCTAACTATTAATATCTACCTTAACCTTTATTATATTAAATATTATAAACTTTAATATTTCTTTCTTTATAGCTAACTTAATTCCTTACTTAATTAATAGTAAGATTCTTTTAAGGTATAACCTATTTATTACCCTTTTCTATATTACTTTATAGTATTTATAGCTTAAGTTAATAAAGGTATTTATTAATATATATACCTTTAAAATAATAAGGATAAAGAATAGTTTAGTATTTATTTATTTAACTATCTCTTCTTAAATTACCTTATCCTACTTATCTATTTCTTTTTAACCTTTTATTATAGTTAATATACTTAAAAAGAGACTTATTCTTAAATATTCTTTTTTCTTAAATTATTAAATTAATTCTTTATAGAAATACTACTTATATAAACTAATATTAAAGGTCTAGCTAGCTTAAGCCTATAGGCTATAACTATATAGCTTATCCTTTTATAATAAAGATATTACCTTACCTTTTAGTATATATTAAATATTATCTTTAATATCTATATAGTATATTTTCTAGTCTATATACTACTTAAGGTTATACTATTAATAGCTAGTATAATTTTAAAGGTATAAATACCTATTATTTAAATATCCCCTTCTTTATCTATTTACTACCTATATAGGCTTTATTATAGTTTAGTTTAATATTATTTTTTAATTTTATATAATTTAAGGTTTATTACTACCTTTTAAAGTATTTAGATTATATTATTATAATTTATTTAAAAAATACTATAGCTAATTATAAACACTTTTATTATAAAGAATAGTATTAAATAGAGTTTATTTAACTTAACTTTATTTAACTATATAAGGCTATTAATAAAAGCTAGCTTTTATTTAAAGTATATATAATAATAGTTAAAAGACTTTTTATTACTTTATAAGATTATATTAAGGTTTATTATTATTATAAACTATTAATAAAGATTATTAAATACTATTTTAAGGTATATAAGAAATATATAAAGGTTTACTTTACTTTAAAAGCTATTTACTTTAAAGTATATAATAACTTTTATTTATAATATAATATTAAGGTTTACTTAAATATATATAAATTAAGACTTTAAAAAGCTAATAAAGTCTATATTAGTTTTTAGTTTATATATTATAGCCTACTTTTAACCTATAAATACTTTTATATTATTATTAAACTTCTTTTTTATAAATAAAGGCTTTTATTAAACTAAAAGTATATTAACTAAAAAAGGAGTATTTTTAGGTATTATAATCTAGCCTTTAAAGGTTTAGCTAGCTATATTCTAGGTATTAAAAAGGTTTTATAGTTATTATAACTCCTTTTTTAAGAATATATTTTATTTTATTATAGCTATAAACTAGGCTAGAAGTACCTAGTAAACCTTAGCTATTAGTAGCTATTATTTAAATTATAATTCTATTATTATTACTTTTATCTTATTAGCTTTTCTCTTAGCTAGATAGGAAGGGTATTAGTAAGGAAGAGAGTTAATTATTAAAGACTAGCCTTAGGGTATTTATAAATAGGTATTATAATAGTATTAACTCTCTTATAGAGTAAAAAAAGAGGAAAAGCTAGTCTATCTATTTACTCTAGTATATAAAGGGGGTATATTAGGGGTGTGCCTATAGTAGCCTTAGGCTAAGCCTAGTCTAGAGTAGGCCTAAGCCTAACTTCTTTATAAGTAGCTATAATAAGCCTTAAAACTAAACTTACTTCTCTTATAACTAGGTAGGTACTTTATAAAATATTAATAATATTATAATATACTATAAAATAAGTTTAAAGAAGTATAATTATAAATTCTATAATATTATTTAATTCTTTTATTTTAAGGGAATCTTCTTAATATCTTTTAATTATAAAGAATATAACTATCTACCTTATATAACTAATAATAGTTTAGTATAGATTTAAATAATTACCTAGAAGTAATTTAGTATTAAATAACTTTATAAGCTTATTATAACTAAAAGTACTAATAGCTAATTAAGCTCTAGGTTAATTACTACCTAATTAACTAGTAAGAACCCTAGTCTTATAATTATAGTATAGAATATATATATAATCTAAACTAATATTTAGTATATTTAGCATAGTATTAGCTCCTCTATATAGGCTTTTCTTAATATTCTTAAAGATAATAAAGAGGTTTTCTTTTTTAATATTTTCTATAGTCTAACTAGGTGTATTTTATACCTACTTTAGGTTTATTAAAGCTATATTAAATATTAAAAAAGAAACCCTAGACTCTTAATTATAAATAATACCTATAAAGTTAACTATTTTAATATACTACTTCTATAGATTAATAGTATAATATTATTATATACTACCTTTTTTATAGTATTTAGTATAGTATTAAAAGAAGATTATAATAGCTTTTAATAGTAGTTAGATTAGCTTTATACTACTACTAGTTATACTAATATTAAGCCTCTAGATATTATTATTATAGACTATAATAATACTATTAAAAGCGCTCTTTATAATACCTTTCTTATTACCTAGTAGTAAATTTATATATAGTATATTAATAAGAATATCCTATATAATATAAAGCTAAAATAGTATAGGACTTAAGATAAGATAGGCCTACCTATAGAGGAAGAGCTATTTAAGGGCTTTAGTAATAATACCTTACTACTACCTACTACTAATAAGCTATCTTAATAGCTCCTATACTAAGGTACTTAAGGAATGCCTTATAAATTAACTTTATAGGTAAATACCTACTAAATATATCTACCCTTATCTCCTAGAGTATATACCTTTAGGTAGTATATACTAAAGCTAACTAGTAACCTAAATAATATATTTATAATATTTATTAGCTAGTAAAGCCTTATTTAAGGCCCTATCTTAAAAGAGGAATTCCTTTACTAATAGGATATCTTTTATACTATATAGGTATATTAAGAAGGTTAGAATTAAATTCTTTATTTAATAAGGTATCTTTTATTAACTTTAACTCTAAATATCCTTAATTATTTATACTAAATATATATTCTAGTTTAATACTAATTTATATACTTTATAACTTAAACCTATTATAATTATAATATTATTATAAGCTTTTAAGCTAAAGGTAGCTACTCTAAACTTAAGAATTATATTAAAAACTAAATAGCTAACCTATTTATATTAAATAATATAATTATTTATATAGTTTAGTATTAAATTACTAAATATAACTATATTCTTAATTACTAACTCTTAAGAAGGTAGCTTAACTAGAATAACTACCCTTAATTACTACCTTTAGTAAGGAAAGTTAGTTAGCTAGTAGTAAAGAAAATTATAAAGTAAGTTAAGAAGGCTTAATAGCTATTAGCTAATACCCTAATAAGCTATACCTATTATTATTATACTAATAGCTTTACTACCTAATAGGGGCTTCCTTATTACTATATAATAAAGGGTCTATTAGAAGATAGCTATCTAATAACCTTTAATAACCTTAATCCTTATTAGTAGCTTTAAGCTAATAACCCCTAGTAAAAGGCTATTATTAAGTATGCCTATAAGCTTAATCTATATCCTATATGCTAGGCGGTATAGAATAACCTAGAGCTAGTGCCTTAAGCTACCTCTAGGTATACTCTAAGCTACTAGGAGGGCTCTAATACGGCTTTAAAGCCCTCTAGTAATAGCCTTAACAACAGCCTTAGCTAAGGCCCTAGCTAAGGCGGCCTTAATAGCCCTAGCTAAGGCCGTGGCTAAGGCTATGGCCATAGCTATAGCTATAGCTATAGCTATAGCGGTAGTAGCGGTAGTGGCAGTAGTATAGTAGCTTATAAGAGATATTAATTAGTAGCTATATAAGAAATTATTATAATATTAATTATAGCCTTAAAAGTATATATATAGGCTTTAATTTAATAGTCTCTTAAAGCTTATATAATATATATTACTATTATACCTATTAATTTAGCTTATATTTAGCCCTCTTCTATATATTCCTTATCTATAGTTACCCTTTTACTAGCTATAGTAGCGCTATTAGTAGTAGTAGCGCTACTAGTACTAGTATATAATAATAACCTTAAATTCTATTACTTTATACTAAATAGAAAATAATATAGCTTATAGTTTCTTTTAAGTAACGCCCCTGCTAAATTTGTATAGAGAACGTATATACGCTAATCCTAAAGCGGTATAGTTATCCTGCAAATTCCAAATCTTGTCCTGTAAATTTCGGTCCTCCGAATATAGGGCCCGCTACCGCTACTCTTGGGTCAAATAAAGCCCCTTTAATACAAATATCAACCATCTTTTGCCTCTAACTACAGCCCCCCCCCACCCAACTACAACTAGTAACCCGTTCTATTGTCGAAGAAGATAAAGAGACCCCGTTGATGGTAGCTGCATCCCCCACTCGTTATGCGAGGGGCCCGCTGTAGTTGATCCGGATCGAGTCTCGCGAGACGTCCGAGGGATAGCACAGCGTGTGGTCGGCGGGCCGGAGGAACCAGCGCTCGGAGCCGTCGAGGGTGCGCGCGTGTCCGCTGGCCTCTGTCGCGCGGCACTCGTTAAACGAAAAGGTGTTGAACGGCGCGAGGCCGCCGGCCGCGTCCTCCTGGATCCACTCGGCCGCCGCGCCGCATAGGTACGAGCCGGCCGGCGCGTCGAGCGCGATGGTGACCTTTTGGCCCGTGGTGTGGTTCTCCATGTACCTTGGGGTCCCCATAAAGTTAGTACAACCAAGCACAACGTTGCTAGTAGGAGATGACGTACGCTGTGCCTGAGGTGCTGTTGTGGGCTGTGACTTGCACGAAGACGGTGTCTCCTGGACGGACTGGACATTGTTAGCCCCCCCCTTTTGGCCTGGTCTAACGTTTATCCTAAGGTGCGTGCGCTTACCGACAGGCTCGTCCATCAGCTAAGAGTTTAACGGGTAGAACTCGTACCAGAACCCGTACGTTAGGCGGTTCTTTTCTAGCTTTTGGCATTGGACTTCCTCGTTAGCAATTTTGTGTGTAACTTGCTTTGCGGATATATGGAGGGACGTGAGGCTGCCCGTCACATACCCGGGCATACGTTCCCGCCTGGAGGATGGCCTGGCACTCTGCGCTGGCGCCGTCGATCCCGACCTATTGGTAGTTGTGGACGGGCTGTCCGCGGCTCTGCGAGCGCAGCGGCGACGCCGCGGGCACGACCCAGGAGGCAGAGACCTCGCGGATGGCGTTGCCGCTCAGCACCTGGCCGCACCAGTTGTTCGAGATGAAGTCTCGCCGGACGTGGCTTCGGTCGGGACCGCGGGTCGCGAGTGCGGCGACGGCAGGGGCGAGGAGGAGTGCTGAAAGGAGCATATTGGCGAGTGGTGGAGAGAGCTAAGGTCCAACGAAAGGCTGTCAAGGGGGATGAATCTAATGAGTAGAGACGGTTTTTTGGAGGCCATGGGCTGTGCATTTTATAACTTTGAGAAGGGACGTGGTTCTGGTATAGTTGCTTCTATCACAAGCCGACAAGGTGACGGACTTGGTGGACTCGTTCCTTATCGGACAAGGCGCGCCTGTTGTGGACCGAATGGTTGCAGGCAAGCGATGGTTACATTTCACTTGACCATCGCTTCTATGTCCATCCTTGATGTAGATCATCTTACCAGGATGTTCCTGGCGGTATCTAGTTTACAGTTGCGGCACTTGGCTGGACTGAATGTTGAGCGTGTCAGAGCAGGTTCTATAAATTTGACAGCCCAACGTGGCCATTTTTATATCATTTTTTTATATCATTTTCTATATGACTAGCTTTATGTACTGCAGCCCTACGATATTTTACTTATATAGGAAGGTGCTAAGATGCTAGGGTGTTATATGATGGCTGGGTGATTGCCAAATCGGGGAAGCGGAAAGTTTGCATTGACAGCAAAGAATGTCAGGGCTTGCCTGCAAGCGGAGGCGCTAGATGGTGTCGCATTGATGGTGGTGGAGGGCTGACCCTGATGATAGTCGGTTATGCCAAGTGCGAGTGACAGCAGGATGACTGACGACTGTTCCTGTTGGCTGTTGGTTCCTGTTTTTCTTCTTGGCGCTGGTGGGCGTTTCCACTTCGTCTCCAGGCTGCTTGTCCCGTCGACGTATGTTGATGGACGTTCTATTCGTGGCCAAGTAAATTACTTATTAAAGTGCATTCCCGTGCGGTATAACCGTGCACATCCAGCAGCCCTGCAGCGCCAAGGAATAGAGGCGCATCTGATACGCTTCGCGAGTACCGTTGGTACGAAATTTTATTGGCTGCATTTCGAAAATAAATTGCAAAAGTCAAGCGGCATTTCCGATCGAGCTGCCATATAAGCAGGGGCTCCCTTGCCGTCACCATTGTCTCTTCTCGCTCTGTGGCTCATTCCCAACCGCCAAGCGTGTAGTGGCAGAACCACAGAGTCTGGGCGGGAGGGAAGTCATCGCAGCCACGATGGATTGAAAAAGCCAATATAGATAGCACGGCTCCTATTCTGACATCAGGCAGTAGCAAGGTAACATTCTTTAGATTAGCGAGTGGGGGCTTTCTCCCGAGTGGACTGAGGGACTGGGCTCATCATGCGACGCTGCAGCTAATAAACGAGCTCGTCAGTGATGGAAGCAAGTCCTCTTGCTCGGTCCGCTGCCGCTTCCGTCCTCTCGGCTCATCATCTCCTCGGTCGCCCTCGGTCCGCTGCCGCTTCCGTCCTCTCGGATCATCATCTCCTCGGTCGCCCTCGATCCACGCCGCGGTTCGACCATCGTCTTCCCATGCCATCACGTAGCCGTCGACGCTTTCTGATGCGTCGCGTTGGTGGTCGGACGGTGGCTTCGATCGCTTGCTAGGACTCGAGGCACGCGGTCCGCCTCCGCCGTATCGCTTATGCCGCTCAGCGCGATCCATATCAACCACCTTGGTCACCCACGACGGGTGGCCGCTCGGCTCGCTGCACCACCGCAAGTGACTCACGTCTGCTGTTCTTCCTCATCATCTTCGATGTGGTCAACATCGAAGACTCGAGGAGTCGCCTTGCTGTGCCTAAGAAAGGTCGCTCTGCGGCAAGGATTTCGCTTCTAAAAAGTCTATCGAAAGGGAAAGGATGTAGGTTTACATACATCTCCAAGCCGAGTATGAATGCATCGCCCCATTTCCTCAACGTTTAGGCTAGCGACCTGTCCAACTGTCTCGTCCGACTTACAATGCATCCAACGCCGCGAGCACTTCTCCCATCGACTTGAATTGCCCAGTCCAGCAACCTAGCATAACACTGCTGAAAGGCAAACTCTGAACATCGGGGAATATATGCCTAGCGTAGCGGTCTTGAGCAATCTTCTTCTTGTCGTCGACCTCGACGAGATCATAGAATGTTGGCTTGCCTGTGAGCAGTTGATATATTACACAGCCATATGCAAATATGTCGCTGTGGATGTCAACCGCCGAACCCTGCCGATTATACCACTTGTATCCTGCCCTCGCTTCTTCGCCATCAATGCCGCAGCCTTCAAAGTCGATAATCTTGAGCCGATTTTCGACGACGACCAGATTTTCACAACCAATGTCTCCATGGACAATGCCCTTGTCATGCATATACTGCAGCCCGTCCGCAACATCTCGTATCCACGTCCGATGGTTTTGAACCCAAATGTCGTCAGTTTCAGCCAGCTGCAGCAATGGTATGCCACGCTCCAGAACAATAGAGTTCGAGTCTCCTTCACCTAAATATCCGATGATGTTGGGATGTGAGCCTAGGCGCTCCAGAGCCTTGCGCTCCTCTGCCCCTTCATCAATATCGTAGAAGTGTTTTAAAACGCGTTGGCCGTCAATAGCGTATACAACGCCCGTGGTGCCGTGTCCGATATGGATAAGCTGGCCGGGATCGATCGGCAGAGTTGACTTGGCCATTTGGTGATGTTGGGCGCGGAAATTGCAAAACCCAGATTAACGGCAAGGCTGGATGCTAGCCAGACGATCCACGTGATTCTAGAAAAATGGTCTTCGCTAGGGGCGTTTTTTTACAGGTATTACCTTTAAAATAACGTATTTTTTTCTCAATTAACTACCTCTAGCACATATGACGGCTACCTTAAGGCCTCGCAGCAGCTCCCAATCGTGTATAAAAAAGGGCGAAAGCATTATACATCAATACAGCCAGCGACGGAATTTCCCTCAGGGTCATTCATCGTAGCAGAAACAGACATTAAAGTAGTCAAGTTATGGTGTCTGGGAAGCGGCCACAGGGGATAGCAGATGTCACGTTATAAAGCATAACAGAATACTCACCCGCAGCCAGGTACTAACCTCGTCCGTTCAAAAGCACCTCACCCATGAGCAACCACGCACATCCATAACCAACCAGGTACATCCATAATCTTTTCTACCACGTTCGCGCTTAGCGCTTAGTTAGATGGCAGAAATGGCGCTGCCATGCGGCGTACGGCGCCGCCTACCACCTCCTAAACACCCAGACGAAGGCGTCCGCCCGCAATTCCATCGACGCAACGTCCGGTTTTGCCATCCCGGATACGCAGACAATTCCAACACCATGCTCATACTGCCGGCGCTCGATCCGCTCCCTCATCATGACGCACAGAAGACCCCGTTGCAACCCAACAAGCGCTTTGGCATGCATCACGAGACTGCGCGCGTGGCATGCGCCATTCTCGCCAACGCGCGCTTCGATGGCTACCTCTCCGAGAACAAGCAACCCCAGACGGACCCTCCCTGCATCGACCCGGATGCGTTGCTGCTCGGAGACAAATACTACTTCCACGTCCCTGGCTCTGCCGCGCCGAGCCCTGCCTACCCCGTAGTACCATCCTTTCAGCATTTTCGGTTCCCACACGCCAGGTTGCCACCGTCGTGGCTGGCCTCGACGCTTAGCATACCCGACAAGTACGGCCTCCCGTGCACCGCCACGCTTGACGCGGCCGTTCTCGCGCGCGACGTGTCCTGCCGCCTCACGGCCTCTACCTTGGGCACCGAAGCCGCTCATCTTATCCCCCGCAGCGAGAACGCCTGGTTCTTGTCCAACGAGATGGCGCAGTACACAATACGGCCCAGCTTGCCAGCCGCAGCCGCGACCGACGATACTGCAAACACCATCCTCCTTTCCTCCCACATCCACGCCACCTTTGACCAACGCTGCTTTGCCATTGCCCCGAAATGGGGCCGCTGGGTCATTCACACACTCATTGGCACGCCGGCGGAGGAGCTGACTGCCGTCTATCACAACGTAGAGCTGCAGCAACTCACGGGTCTCGCCGTCGAGTGTATTTTTGCGCGGTTTGCATGGTCCGTGGTCCTGCAGGCCTCCTTTCTGTCTGCAGGCGGCCCACGTTGGTTGTCCGTTATCAGGGCGGACGAGTCGGTAAGTAAGGAAATATTTATGGATCTTATAAGCACGTATATACTAAAACTCTTTGGTTCAAAGAGTCGCAGCTACAGCCCTAAGAAGCGCTCACGCGGCGATGGAACGGCAGATAAGGATATGGTTGGAAAGGAAGCAGAAGGCAATTCAACTAATAAGGATAACTAGATTTAGGATCTATATAGCCGCCCTAGAAAGAGGGCAGCTATAACATCCAACCTAACTTCTATACTAGTAGTTAGCTAACCAAGACCTAGGTATTTAGATAAATAACTAAAAGTATTTATTTAATTAAAAACTAGAAATATTAAGAAAAATAAGCAAAATAAGAAAAATAAGAATTATATTCTATCTTAAGTAGCTTAATATTATATTTTATAATATTTGCCTAGTATTTGCTAGTCTAGTATCGAGATTGATAATTGATCTCTAACCCTTCCGCCTGTTCCCGTATGTATTCCTGTAGAGTTGGGGGGGTGGCTGGGATGTCGGGTCCGTGGTTGACCAGACTGCCTCGCAGGTGCGTCATGATGGTCAACTCGACCTACTTGACTTGCTTCGTGATGATTGGCATGTTCGGTGCGTCTGCGTTGGTGTTGGCCATTTTCTCCTTTCCCTTCTTCTGCCCGTACAGTGCTGTGAGCTCTCCCATCAGCGCTGCCTCTTTGTCCTTGACGCGTTCTTCTGTCTCCAGGGCCGCTGCGAACTCGGCCACGCAGGGTGTCACTCGGTCCAGCAGTGCGACGAGATTGCGATCTTTCGGGTACCACTTCATAGCTCTGGTTAGGGCATAGAAGCCACCCACATCATTAGAACAATACATCATCATCTTGCCTTCATTGCCTGTACGCAACATTGGGGACCCCTCGTGGCGCTACTGCTTTGCGCGATCTCTTCGCTCCCGGGTTCTTAGGCGTTGGCTTGGCTGCTGCAACGCTTGCCTCTGTGTCTATTGCGTCCTCCGACGCTCGCTTCTTGCCGGCAGCGGCTGCGGCAGCGGCGGCTGGCTTTAGGAAGTTGCGACTGAATTTCGGGTCTAGCATTGGTTACCGTGTGAAGGCTCGTTCCGCCTGCTCTCGCATGTATTCCTACAGCGTCGGGGTGACTAGGATGCCGGGTCCGTAATTGACCAGACTAGGTTCGTTGAACATGCTGAGCGCGGCGGTGGCCCATTGCGCTGGGGGTAGCTTGCGGCTGCCGGTATGCTGATGGCGTGGTTCGAGGACTGTATGTCGAGTAGTGTGTTATGGAGCCTTTTGCAGCCCATCAACAACTTTTCCTTGAAGAGTGCTTTCATGATTCAGTCTCGCAAGGAAAAAGAAGCTTCCGTATTTTGGCCATGCCCATTGTATCCCCCTCGATCGTTTCGGCCAACGCCTTGTCCACCCAACCTTGAGTATAGCCACCTCCAAAATCAGTAACCAAAGCATTGTTACTCTCATCGATCAAAACGTTTTCCGCCTTGACATCACCCCAGACTATGCCTGCTTTATGAAGACTGGACAGCGTGAGGTCTAGTTGCCGAATCCACTTCCTTCTCACACTCATGGGAGGGTCGTCAGGGTCTTCCGGGTCGACTCTCGCAGATAAGGGGCAATTGGCACCGTCAACATAGGTCAGCAGAATGCCAAGGATAAAATCGTGGTCATCCATAACGACGCCGTGCATGCGACACAGATTCAACTGGCCGTCGTAGAGTCCAGCTGCAAGGATGGCCTTGTAACTCTTGAGCTCTCGTGTAGCTTGGGTGCTGGAGTGGCAAGGCTTGAAGAAGCACTCAACTTGTCCGTCGTCAATGAGGACTTTTCTGGGTTGTTTGAAGAGTGCGTCCTCTGGGTCTGTGAAGCTAAGGATGATCGCAGCAGGGTCGTAGAAATGTGTCCACTCTTCTAGCTCGTCGAGGAATGGCTCGTCAAAGAGGCAGAAAGACGGACGAAAGGGCGGGGTTTGGCTCAAGATGCGTCGTGGACATGGCTTTTCATTGATGATGTCGAGGTCAAAGACGAAAACTTCGGGGAAAAGATGCTGTTGTAGAGAGATTTGAGTCTGCTTTGGGTCGCCCGGCGGCGGAGGAGCGAGTTCAACAAGCAGTGCCTCGAACGGCGTCATAACCCACTCAAAGACATCGGTGTCGTATATGTCATCTATAACTTCTTCCCCAGATCGGAGAACCTCGAGGTATACTAGGTATTTTTGTGTCATGACAGGTGAGTCGACAAAGTGCGAAGGTGAGATTTGAATGTAGAAGATTTTGCCGTTTCGGCGGACTTTAAAACTCGCATCATGGTCATCCTCATGCATGCTTGTGCTGTGATATTCAATGCTGTGTTTCGGTAGTTTTGCCATGATCGATATCGTCTGTCGTCTGTAAGATAATCTAAAGCTGTGTCGGGACGAAGATGAAAGGAAGAGGGAGAAAGTTGGCCAACGAAGCGCGTTTGACAGGGGCGGTACTTCTTTTTAGGTATAGGGTAGGTAAAATTAAATACAACGTTCCAGTGGGCGACCAGGGGGCCACGCGGCATTAGTCACTGAACGTCTGGCTATAGGCTAATTCACGTAAATTTTGTTGATACTGCCAGTAAAACGATTGCTTATTGGTGCTAAGCTGCATGAGTAACTCAAAAATAGCACCTATCATTCCTAACCGCCGGACAAAATCCTGAATTGTCATACCAAGGCGCCATAAAACCTACCCACCAGATTTGGGCCAACAAGTCCTCCGTAACAATAGTTCAGTCTTTCTTAGTGTATTGACCAATCCTTTGTTTTTGGGGGTTTTTTTTTCGCTGATAATTCTCAGAGCCAAACGGTCGTTTCTCGCCCTCTGATGTATTAGGCTCCGATCGCAAATGATAACAAATGTCCCAAAATAAGAACCAGCTCATGCAGTATTGCGTGGCGCCAATCAGGCCTGTCATGCAGCCGCTATGGCGGAGTGAATGCCTTGGTGAGACATGTATTCCTTCCGAATCCGCTACCACCACAACTTTGCACAGGTCTTGAGAGACTGCCTCCCATTTGAGATACGATCTAACCAAAGTCGTGTGAATACTCCGTATAAGAGAAGGTTATTAGGTACTAGATTACTTCGCCATGATGAGGCAAGATAATTTCGGGACCTTGCGGGTGGTGAGGGACGATACTGCTAAGAGACGGTAAGCATAAAATAATAATTATGTATTCATCATTATATTTCGGCCGTATATTAATAATGGGAGGTCCATCAACCTTTTGCTAACTTGGTCACCTACTGACACTAATATGTACATCTCGGATTCAAGGTTCCTAGTCCCTGTACCTTGAACTAGGTGACTCTCTGCGAGAAGTTGCGAGCCAATTATCAGCTGCTAGCACTGTGCCAAGATGGGATCGAAATATTGCGCTGCAGAATACGCCTTTGATTCGCAGTAGCTGCGAGCTGAATCCATCTCAACGGAAGGTTGCAGTGTATGGATCGGGTGCACAGAATGTTAGGCGGCAACAGCACCACGTCCGGATGGCAGCTACTATCCCGGCTCGCTAACACAGATTTGCCGAGCTTCCGTCGATCGTTTGGATAACGACATTGGGCACTTACGACACAGCGCTGTGCTTTGGAGAATCAAGGCGCTCTCTCAATCTTGAGTCGACTTGTATCTGCGCAATCGCCGTATGTACACTTTTGCCGTGAGCGTGCCGGTGGCACCTTGATTTGGTTGCGTGACGTGGCACCAAATGTCATGTAGCATTTGCATGGTGAAATGCAGCCCCTATCCTTTGGAACCCAAGCCTTGTCATCCGTGAGCAGGCCTCCTCCTCATACCTACGGGGTTTCCTGTCTACCCCCTGTTGCTATAATAGGCAATTCTGCCCTTTAGAAATTAGGGTATAATGTTCCTGATATCTCTTATCTTGTGGACGAAGAATGCATCTATGTCCTAACAACACTTTGAGGCAGACCGCCCCCAACAGGATATACAGACACGAACTCGCCGTTCCCTCAGCTTTAACTCGCCGAGGCAGCGATGGCGTCTCAGCTGGAACAGGAGTTAACCTGCTCGGTAAATTTCGAAGTACATGATGCTTACAAGTTTTTGTTCTCCTAACAATTGAAGATATGTTCCGATATATTTCGTCGCCCAGTCGCCCTGCTCGATTGCCTCCACACCTTTTGCAAGGCATGTGTGAATTCTTGGTTTGATGCGCAGAGCGACAACGGCTCCCCTGAATTCACATGCCCGATTTGCCGCGAGGAAGTCAAAAGCTTGCGCCGTGACACCAGGGCTGCTAATTTAGCCGAATGGTTTTTGCTCAAGCGCGAGGCGGACGAGACATCCCGGCCTAGCGATGAAGTCCTTGCCGATAGTGCACCGCTGGCCGCAGGAACACTGCGCTCAGCCGAAGAGGAAGGGCAAGGGGAAGGCAGGGGTTCTGCGAGCAGCTCAGATACATTCACACAAGAAGAAATCTTAGGGGAGATTGAAAATTCTCGACCGAGCGAATATGACCGTCGCCAGAGTACCACAGATTTTTACAACCTCGACGACCACGATGGCTCAGGGGAAGAGCAAGAGGAAAGGGAGATGATTGATTTCGTTACGGCGATGAGCCTGAGCACCTATGATCAGGAAACCAACGCACGGCGAATGGGACTCGTGTGTACATGCAACACGCGGCAGAATGGCACATATAAGACAAGAACCACTAGACGGACTGATTAGAGTGTGTACTAGTTATTATCAACAATAGAACCGATATAAACAGTTTAATTAAGACTAGTAATAATGGCTTCCCTTTAGAGGGCTTTATTTGAATCACAATATGCCCTGTCACCTGTGGCCAAACCCGTGGGTGCGACGCTTATGGTGATGTGCCGACCTCACGTCCCCTGTGGTGGCCACGAAGTGTGCGTCAATCACTTGTTCCACTTCCTCGGCTGGGCCATAAGCTGCCATGGCCTTGGATCATGGAAATAATTGATTTGCCGACCCTACTGACTAGGCAACAGGTGGACCAGGAGGAATAGCCGGCATCTTGTGTAGTCGATCGAAATGCGCCGTCTTGTTGCATAACACTAGATATTTCCCAACTGAAAAGAAAACCCACAGAGCATCCTTTTATTTTTGATTATTTGATGATTTATTTATTTTTGGATCTCTTCATTCACACAATGGAAGCAAACTAGTTACAAAAAAAATATAATTCAAAACCATGGTAGATACAACTCCTTCATAACATTGCCTTCCCATGTCTGCTTTGTTAGGCCCACCTAGCAATTAAGTCTGGAAACACAGAGAGCTAGATCCATGATTCCGTCATGCATAATAAGAGTCGAGCCATCCGGTTCTTGTATTTTGGTGGGGAAGTCTTCTGTGACGAGCAAGACCTCCCTTATCCCGAACACTGTCGCAGGGCCTGGGCGCAGGCGAGGGACGCTGTCTGGGTAATGCCACCCAGGCGGCCGGGGGGCGTCTGGCGTTGACGACGATGAGCTAGACGAAGAGGTATTTCGGGAAACGCATTTGCGTGGATAAAATAAAAACTTTTCAGGATCCATCCACGGCCCTGGGGTTTGCCACGCCCACCCCGGATTGTCACCCCAATGTTTAAGTAACCCTGTATTCTGTTGCCACGCCCAATCCGAGGCGTTCCAGTTCTTGCAAAACTTATCGGACTCGTCGGGTGTCCAATGCCGCTGCTGGGTCGTGTCCAAACATAAATTGAGAAAACGCTCAATCTCGATTTTGCATTTTGTGCGCACGTTGTCGCACCTGTCGCGGGCATGGACATCGTCGCGACTAAACGGCCAGGAGACGGTGGCGAGCAGGGACCGCGCCAAAGCCGCAGGTATCTTCATTGTTGTCGGCGTTGATCTGAGGGGTTTGAAGCGAGTAGATCAGTCTGTAAGAGGATTGAGGGAAAAAGGTAGTGATGCTTCGAAGCTAAAGCAATGAGTCTTTTTAGATGACTTTATATCTGTCCAGAATATACTGACTACATGTCTCGGCTGTTGATTCGGCCATGAAAAAGGGTGCTGAGCTGAGATGGCAAGAATCTTTCTCAGCTTCGGTCGGGTCCGAAAGTTTCAAGCGCAGCTTGTCAAGACCGAGCCTAGGACGTTCCAAAAGAAGATGGGCAATGCAGTTACCCATTTTGCACGTCTGGAAGTGCATGTTTCGGTTGTCTATTTTGCGACATTGACAGAGCCGTCATCCCAATTTCAGCCGAAGCCAGTCTTCAGCTGATTCCAATGGTTGCAATGTCTCATGTATTGGGCTGGCTGAACATACGTCAACGGACTACTCCGTCCATCTGCAGATGATTCACTAGAGAAATATGATCGTTTCGCATGCCAAGTATGCTTCCGAGGAGGTACAAAACACTCGTACTATGTCGGCGTCCCGCTCAGCTGCTGAAGGCTAACCTGTCTTATGGACTTGGCTGTCTGGAAATAAATTAGCAGACTATATCCGCTGACGAATTAGAAGAAATGCACCCGTTTCCTACATGCCAAGTACTTTCGGGGAGATATAAACGTTCGTCTATTTTGCCAGTGGGTGTTGTACCTGTACGTCGGCATCCCCTCGCTCCTCAAATATCTGGCTGGCTGAAGATCCCTCAACAAGCTATATTTGCTCACATGGTCAGAATTTTATGACTGTTATAGGCAGAAGAGATGCCGAATCTGCATGTCAACGGTTCAGGTTGCCATTGGTGTCAGACAAAAGCATCTCTTTGTCTAGCAGAGTGGCCATCTGAAAGAGCAATCAGTTCTCACATGCCGTCATGGCATCATCACGGCGATCAAGCTGCCAAGGTATTTACTATACCATAATCTAGAACCAAATGACCGTTGCAGTGACTCGTTTGGTGGAAGCTGCAAATAGTAAATGCTGGATTGACAAACGCAGACCATTGGCAACTTGTTGACGACGCCTCCCGCAACCTGAGTTCCTATTGCATTTCGTCATTTCTTACTGAAACAAAATAACAACGAGCAGTATATTATCAAGCATGACGTATTTCGCAGAAGAGGCGGCCTTTGCTTGACCACCCTTTGCCACCTGTCTAGATCATGAAGCTGCAGGACGGGCTACATGCAAGCTGAAGTGTGATAAGCGGTGCATCATCCTCGTCCCCTCCAAAAGCAAGCCTCCCAATCCAGTTGATCCTTCGCATAATGGCATTTGAAGTATGAAATCCAACCCCCGGATTGCGTTTGTTTTTTTTGCGTTGTTCAAAAGTCCCGGCCTAGCCAGCCACTGTCGATGAATACAAGCTGCTCATCACTTCAGAAACGCTACATTCTTCCTGAGCCAGTAAACTCAAAACAACAAACTCTTGTATTCACACACATTTCCTTCAAAAAATTCCATTTGAACTCTTTCTTGTCCATCACCTAGAAGCTGCGTGAGACTGAACATCCAGGCTCAGCTTCGCGAACAATGGACGTCCTCAACTCAAACTTGTCGGCGCAAAAGTATGGCTATGACTTGGTTGCATCCACCAGCCAGGAGAGTATCTCTGGCATTATGATGCAGTCTATTACCCAGGCTGCTGTGGAGGGAACATGGTACTTTTTCCGCAGCAGCAACCCTGGCAGCACCTACGACATCTGTGGCAAGGAGGAGGCTCTGAAGAAAACGAATGGTATTGACCCATTTGACACCAAAAGATTTCCCGATATTATGTCCACAAATGACGCAAATTACACGGCCCTCTACGATGCGGGACTCAGCTTTGCTTGCGATTTCGTCCTGGGCCTTCCACTGGACATGACGGGAGATCAGCTCCCGCAGCCGTGTGTTGTTCTCGGCGAAGAGCAGGACAAGGTCCTTTTGAACGTCTATTTTCAGACAATCACTTTTGTTCAGACACGCACGGAGAGCGGAAGCCGGGTGTGGAGGCGGACATGCCAGCAGCGCGGCGCTCCATGGTATGCCACCATCAAGCTGAACATTGTCCAGGAGGACATGCCGTCCATTGAAAATGACTCTTATTTCAGCCGAAACAAAGAGGCTGCCTCTGAGATCAAGACAAAGGTGCAGGGCGGCGGCGGCTCTGAGCCCTCCTTTCGCCAAGTCGTTCTAGGCTGGAACAACTACGATGTCATCAATGTCGAGTCCCAGGGCACTCCGGCAGACACCACCGGGAACCTCATGTCTGCATTACACCATTCGGTGGCCAAGCTTCAGGGCGTCGGCCTGGCACCACTTTGCGTTCTCGCCAAGTCTGGTGCGTCGGAAGCTGCGTCGCTCGTCTCCGCGTGTGACTGGCAGGTGACTCGGTACGCAGGACATGCCAACGTCTCAACGCTTGATGTGCTCTGCATGATTGATGGGCATCAATTGCCAGCTCGGCCTCATCCCGACTTTGACTGGCACTGGATGGAGCCAGGCGAAGATGAGGGGCAAGTGCATGGATTCATGTCAGTCAATGCTCAAGTCATCGCTGCCCTCATGAAGGCGCAGTGTTGGGACAAGATTGCAAATACATTTTGTGTAACATTTCAGTGCCTAGCGAATGATGCTGGCTTGCTCATGATCACGTCTGGTCACGCGGATCTGCCCAAAGCTTATGTCCAACTATGTCCCTCGCCGGGAGTCCTCCTGCAGGTTGACTACGTGACGCTGCACGATGCCACCAACAAAGACACAAAGCTGTGGATCGACTATTCGTACAAACTCGAAATCAAAAGTGCAGAAAAATCCTTTACTGCCTCGCAGGACGTCACCGCACATATTACCATCACCTACGAATCCTCCCCCAGCACTTGCACAATCACCGCTCATAATGAAGATACATACGACATCTCTGTCAACAGTGAGGGTGATTTAGCTACAAAATGGAGGGATGGCTCGGTTGTGAGCCCAAAGAACTCGTTTGTTTCCAACAGCGCATGGCCATCCTACTTTAAATATAGCGCGGAAGCGTGCGTTACTGTCTTCTACAGGGATGAGTTCACCCCAAAGATTGGAACCAAGGTCCTGGATACCATGCCGCTGAGCAATCTGGGCAGTTTTGTCTTTCCAGGGGGCCAAGTTTATTCATACAACGACCCAAAAGTATCCAAGTTCAACGATTTACTCTGTGGAATCACCTACCGTCCGCCAAGGGCCATCAATTATGTTGGCGGGGACAAACTTGACATACCCGAGGCGCCCGAGGCAGGCCGCCGCCCACCGGCATCCCCTTCGTCGGGAATGACTCTGACATATTCGTCGGATCTTATCCAAAACTACATTCCAGGCAAAGCAGTCGACATTGTTGGAAGCTCGAGCAAATTCTTAGCTTTGCAGGCCAAGAATGGCAATTCCATGATCCTCACCGTCAACAGCTCTGGCGCGCTTACTATCATTCGAGAGCAGAGCAGTTTGTTCTCCAGTTATAACAACCCTGACGAAAGTTCAAAATTGGGCTGGATTGCGTCGCCCCTGACTGAGCAGGGTAAATCTGTCATCAATTTTGACGCTTCGCAGCATGCCGTCACTGGTGCCATCAACGTTGCCGTTGTCATGGAAACAAGCAACCGCGAAGTTCTCTTCACCTCCATTGGAAACTCCCACGAAGACTTTTCTTGGACGTCCAAGCCCAACTGGAAGCCGATAGAATACGATGCAAAGCCGACGGCGCCGCCCAAGTTGCACATTGCTGGCCTGCTCTTTGCCGAGGCTTCACATGACTACCTCATTGCGGATATTAACCGCCCCGATAACGACTCGGCCTATATTGAGCGATACCACATAAAGTCGTCGCCGAAGCCGGGCGAGAAGCATTGGAATATCCACGATGTCCCGGGCGACTTCCTACGAGACAGCTTCCGGAGCTGCGTGGGCCGGTCAAAGGGGGAGCGCGTCGACGGTGTTTACACTTCGGGGCGAGAAGGGGGACGCGCAACAGCAGGCACCCAGCTTTGCTATCAAGCCATTGAGAATATTTACCAGCCCACAATCCCAGCCCCGCCTTGCTGGCTCTTCCTGCCCAAAGGCCACGAAGCACCGCTGGCGGGTATGCCCATCGCGACAATTCATGTGGCGAGTTCGTCGTCGTCGTCGTCGAGGAATACACCCACAGACTTGTACGCAGTCGCAAATTCCAGTCTTTATCGCTGGGGAGCAGATAATCAGAAAGATAGAGCCCGTGGACAACTCATCATCTCGAAAAGCCCGCTGCTGTCTGAAACACATACCCTGCATGCCATGGCTCAAGATGGGATTGCAACGATCTGGGGGCTGAACAAGTCAAAGCAGCTGTTTACCGTATCATGCGAAGCCAAGTTGGTGTCGGATCCAACCAAATGGAGTGCGCCGATTCCCGCAGCTCTCGAGATTGAGCGGCTCTCTGCCTACGTCAATGCCGTCGACGGGGGCAACACCATTTTTGCGTTGTCACACCACCAGAAAATCTTAAAGGAGGGAGACGCACGACTTTCTCAATTCACAAAGCAGACAAAAGGCTCCAAACTATGGAAAGCCCAAAACATCATGCTTCCGGTCCTCCCACACGAAAAGTCCAAGCCCATCATGTCCTACACAACGTCGATTGCGGTCAAGGATGAACACGGCCATGGAGTCTCTGGGGCAAAACTGTCCATCACCACTGCATCGCGCACATCAGTTTATATCAATGGCCATTATCACATTTTGAGTCGCGAGCCAACCACGGTGACGGTAGACACGGTCGGAACGGTGACCGTGGTCGAGGCGACAGAGACCTTGTCTGCGGCGGCTTTGACCGTGAAGCTGCAAGGCACTGGCATGGACGGAGTGGAGGGCAACGACGCAGCAAGCGTGGAAATAAAGCCACACGATAACGCCTACACCAAGATTCGAAAGCTGGAGACCAAAGAAGCAATCCAGGGTGCCACAATTCCCAATAACATTGTCGGTGGGGGATATTGGGAGACAAGCACGCATAGGAGCCTAGTGTCCACTGGAATGAAGGACGGTGTAGTGGACAGTGCAGCCGAAATTATCGGAAAACTCAACAAATTACACACGGAACTTGAAGACTCCCCGCAGCGCGGAGCAGGGTCTGAGGAGGAGTATCGAGTCCTACCAGCTGCACACTCGTCAGAAGCCATGTCACTAATGTCCGGTAGCCGCGGCTTCTTGACCGAAGTTGGAGACTTTCTTCATGTCCTCTGGGAATCGGTAAAGAACGGCGTCAAAGTGGCTATAGATTGGGTTTGGGATAAAGTCAACAAGACCTACCGTGTGGTCATGAAGTTTTTGAATCAAGTCTACGAAGCCATTGTGAGAACTGTAGACGACATTGTTGCCGGAATCGTTTGGGTTTTCAACAAGATTGTCCACTCTATACAGGATGTTATCGAATACGTCAAAGTTCTGTTTGAGTGGTCGGATATCCGCAGGACCAAGGACGTCTTCCACAAGGTCGTCACGCTATGGCTGGATCACGAAGTTGGACAAATAGACGAGGGAAAGGCTCTGTTTGACAAAGCCATGGACGGCGCCATCAAGGCAGTTGACAAGTGGGCTGGCTTCAACCATGACTGGAAGCGCCTTGACGGAGCGGAGAAGAACACATCAAAGCAAAACTCCAAGGACCCCGGAAGCGGCCAGACAGCAGCATCGAGTCTGTTTCTCAACCATATGAAGAACAACATTGGGGGAATGGCGCTAACACAAAGCGTTGACGCATTGCCAGAAATCACGGCGTCCATGATGCGTGATGTGACTTCGGATCTGCCTGCACCTACAGCCGATAATGGGCTGCAGTCACTGTACGATAAGCTGTGCGCACTGGCTCACGAGTTTCAGCATTTGAGTGTTGAGGAAGTGTTGAAGAAGCTATTTGCCATCTTGGCCGAGGGTGCTCTCGTAGCAGTGAAGGCCGTTGCCGATGCGGTTTTGACAGCCTTGTCAAAGCTTGCCAAGACGGCACTCAAGATTCTCGATATGAAGATTCACATACCCATCATATCGGATATCCTAAACGCCATTGGAATCCCAGACATATCATTTATCGACCTCTTCATGTGGATTGGTGCCGTGGCCTACACCGTGGTGTACAAGCTTGCAAACCATAACAAGCCGCCATTCTCCGAAGCGGTTGCCGATTCCATCACGTCCGTGTCTACTTGGGATGCCCTGGTGAAGCTATTCCATCCAGCTGTGGCACAGGACCGTGCCAGTATAGCAACAACGTTACCCATTGACCGGAGCGCCATGTTTCACGGCGGCCACGGCGCGGCGGGCATCACAGGCATATCGAGGGCCATCCTGCACACACTGGAGATAGCGCAACCCTCAAACTCCAGCAGCTTGATTTCGTGGTCGTCGGTTGCAGCCACAGTCATCTCCGCCGTGCTTGCGGGCGCCGCCGAGTCCCTCGCCCCACGATGCACCATCGAGAACAAGGATTTTGTTACGCTGAACAGGCTCGTCATCGCCCACACGATCCTGTGGAGTGTGACGTGTGCCGTGGCCGGGGACGACATGTTGAAACCCATTGCCAAGAGAACAGGCCTCAAGTTCATCGATGGTCGTGGCGCGGGGGCGGTTGTGGCCGCCATTATCCGCATTCCCGCGCTTGTCGTCTCCGCGCACCACTTTTCCGAGCTCGCTCAGAAGCCCGCATCGGCGGAGAAGACGGCGTCCATTCTTGGAGAGGTTTCCGCCGTGACGTCGAGCATCTCTACCCTGGCGTATGCGGTTGCGGCGAATACCAGCGGGCAGGTCAAGGCCGTGGCAGTTGTCGTCGTGGGTGTGAGTGATGTGGCAACAGCAGGGCTGCAAATCGCGGAAGCAGCGATTCCTTATTGAGAACGAGAAACATGTCATGAGCGCCACACATTTGTCGATCATCGATGGTAAATTCTTGGGAGATGTCAGTATTGAGCAAAGATAAATACGTATTGCGTATACTGTATTTTTCCTTTAGCTGGACTGTCAAGCCATGCTCCGCCTTTTAAATTCGTGTAAACCGTCGCCCCCGTCTAAACGGCCCTCTCAGCCCACGACTGGATAATGCCCTCGTTGCTCTCGTCATATACTTTGACTTGCACGTCACCATCCTTCACAAAAGTATTTGGCTGCACGAATTTCCACTTTGGGTTGGGTTTCGAGCACACAATTTTGCGCCACTCCTCAAACTCGCCGTCCACCGCACACAGCGGTTCGTAAAACTCTCTGCAAGAGGAAACGTCTGCCGTGCACCGCCATATGTGCAGACGGCAAAGGTAATCTCCCAAGGCTGGCTTGCCGTGGGAGGACATCTTGGAACGGTCTACCCGCACAGTGAGAGCGGAAGTGGTGGGATCATGGTCGATGCGGACGACGCCGCCGCCATCACGGAGCACATGCTTGAGAATGGAAAAGTGTGCCTGGAAACATCAGTCATTTGCCCCATGGAAAAAGCTGGTTTTCTGGCGGCGTACCTGATGGTGGACCTGGCCCCAGGCCTGGTTTTCGGCGCTGTAATGCTGTAGAGCTTGCAGTCCGTCTACGCCAATATTCATGTACGTCGCGTAGAGAACTAGGCCCTGGTTAGCAGGCAAAAACAACCAGTTGCGGTCGACGTACGCTCATCAGCCGTGATTTCGCTAGTGTCGGTGTAGCCAAAAATCCCCAGCAGCTGCTTGTTGTCCATGAAGTACTCCGACATGAGAATCGCGCGGCACTCTTCCACGGTGCTAGCCAACTTGCCAAACACACTTCCCCAGTTCTGCAAAGGCAAGTAGTGTGATGCTATAGGTTTCTTGGTAAGAGGATTCAGTGGTGGATTTTCCCTGTCAAAGTTGTAGACCCCGGGCTCAGTCTCGGCGAGCAGCTTACCACTGCCGTGTCCGAGCAGCTCGTGAATGGCTGTTGTCAGGAATCGGACGATATGCGTCATCGCCTTGAAGCTCGAATGCTCAGACGGGTCGACCCAGTGGCACGGCAGATTGGGATTGTTGTTGACGCTCAGACGGTTGGCCAGAACAATGTTTTTGAAGCCCACGTTCTCACGAATGGTTTCATCCTATCCTCTATTAGTACCTTCCACAAGAAGGGGATTGGTAACTGACATTAGGAAGATTGGCGGCTTCAAATACGACGCTGCCGGCCACGGCAAGAGCTGACATAGTTAGACATTGCCTAGAATTTGGATTCGACGAGCGTACCGTGGATGCTAGTGAAGTCGGGCGCTTCGAACAGGCTCTTCTCGTATGGCCCTTTGCCATCGTTGACACCGTCGACTGCCCACGGGAGCTGTCGAAGAAAGTCGGCAGAGCTGTTGACCAACTGCCTTAGTCTCGCTACCTCATCTTTATCCGCGATGCCAACTACGGCTTCCCATTCGGCTCTGATTCCAGCCGGGTCGCGATATGGCTCGATAAAGCCGATGATGTGCTCGATTGTCGCAGACCCATCCAGGACCCAAGCTTTCTGTGACTCGTGGAAAGCGTCGAGACTGCCCGTGCGAAATGTGTCGATGTAATGCTTCAGGCAAAGTAATTGCTTATCATTGGCGGCGTGTTTACTTGCTTCTTCCAATGATAAGATAACTTGTTCCAATTCCTTTGAATGGTCGCCTCGGACCAGAGAGATGGCATCTGTCAGTAGACGTGGCGCTTTGTCCGTTTCAACTGAAGCTTGTAGAATTTCGTATTTGGAAGCCCCATCTACAATAACTCTTTGAAGACGAGTATTTTCCGGCCCGATGGCGTTGATTGCCATGATTTCGGATACCATGGCAATCTCGGCCTGCGTGATAGTTTCTGTGCCAGGATAATAAGCGGACGCTGACTTATCGCTGGGGTAGCCAAGACCATATGGCGGCACAGAAAGCAGCGGCCCGATAATCTTGTTCAGGTCTTCTGTTGTCTTTGAAGAGACGGATGCAAGTTTTCGAAGAGCGTCTGCAGTCAGGTCTGGAACAAACTTTCTGTCGCCCTCGCCCTGTCGAGGTCAGCGCCGGGTGGCGAAGGATGGCAGGAGAAAACCTACATAGTAGTTCCCTAGATTGCAAAGAAACATGGCAGCGTATTCGAGGAAGCACTCGATCTCTGGGGTAGTGACGCCGGCCTTGGCGACCAAAGTGTTCCACTTGCCGTCGCAAGCATGGTAGAGGTCCATAATGAAGTCAAAGATGTCGATGCTTTCGGAAGAGATCTGCCGCATGACGATTCGGCTTGCCCGCCAGGCGGCCTGCGCCATGTGATGGGCATAGAGCTTCTCGCGTGGCTCGAGAGCATCGAATATGGGCTTGATGAGAAGCTGGTGCACCGTGGCCCCAGGTACGGGGGTATAGCTCTGGGAAGCCATGTTGCTATCGCCTGACAATAGTTGGCTGGCTAGCTGGGCGAGGATGCGGATGGTGGCGAGCCATGATTATGACGACGATTTGAACGCAAAGTGCCGAAATAAATGCCCAAAAACCACGTGTGAGCTGAGCAGAAATTCTGCCTTGACGAGGCTTTGGCAAACGTCGGTCTGTCATGTAACACGACAGCAGCAGATGAGGGGGTGGCTACAGCAAACGCGCCGGCAGTAGCTGTAGGGTATGTGAGACCTCCCAAGAGCCCACACAATAGATCATCATCCCACACAGCATAAATACTTATTAGATAAATAGCATAACAGTAGCCCTTCACAATCAAGACAAACCACTTGCTATTAACTCGAGCATGCATACCCAGAGCTGCAACTCACCTTGTCCGCCGCCTTCCAGAAGCAAAGTTTTGCGCACTGCTGTATGACAACTATCTGTCGATCCTGAAGCGGTCAAATCGACAGATTCCTGCTACTATTGGTTAGCACTGGTGCGTCAAAGTCCTCTGCTACTTTCAGGACCAGTCCACTAGCGACGCTCCCTCGAAGCGTCGACAACGTCTTTCAGTGGCTGAAATAAAGATTCGTTGCATTATCAGTGTGCTTTCTTTTATTCCCCCTTTTTTCTTTTCTTTTTTTTTTTTTTTTGTATTTTCTTTTTTGATTTTTACTAGCCCATGTTCTGATCGAGTACTTGCTCTCTCCATCATTCGCTTTGCTTCTGGCACAACCTCCTAATCCACGGGAAAAGTTGTCAGTCATCTCCACGCTTCCATAACAGTACGTCACTACGCTCTTAAAGGTCCTTCTTAGCTTCGCAGCTTGAAGATTAATGTCCGCGCACTTCTGTCAGCTCTGAGGGATAGCTTCACCGCCACCCCCCACCACAGCCGAGAAAGCAAAAGGCGCCCGTCACCATATAGCATGCACAGCTGGGTGTAACACGTCAACACACAGCTCTCCTATTGTGTCACAAAGAAACGAGTGAAATCGTTCAATTTCATTGGCGGATGTATGAAGTGGCTCGTGCAGCACATTGGAGCGTTCCATTTTCAGGGTCAAAGGGATGCCCGCGCCCTTTTTGGATCAAAAGCTTTGTTGCGCTTCTCATGTTGAAACTGATATAGGTGCAAAGGGAGAGCCGGAATCGACGATGCACGGAATGTGGCGATTCAACAGAATTTGCTAAGCGACGAATCGACAAACCGACACGGAAACTAAATACCCGTGTCGCTAAAAAAGGGATGTGCTTGAATCGCTTCAAACGAGAGTCGTGCCCCCGCGTCATATGTGATGAGGCTTTCCAGCAGATCGTACAAATGTTGGAGAGCCGGTGAGAGGGGCTCAGAGACGGCAGAACCGTCACGTTCGCTCAAGGGTCTTCCAACGTTTCGTACGCGCTGCTTCAACGAGAGCACGTCGACTTTCAAGCGCCGGCCTTCAGCTTCTTTGGGGGTCCCGTCCGGACAAAAGTACCTGTCCCTCTCTTCCCAGTTCTTCCAGAGGGCTTCAGGCGGCCTGCCAAGCATGGCGACCTGGTCTTTTTTCGCGTCATTGTTCCACCCAAAGAGCAGCTTGATCAGGGTTCGGTCGGCACACAGCTCGTACAAGAGACACCCGTAGGCCCATTTGTCAATAGCAGACGTAATCTCGCCGCCGAACAGGATCTCGGGCGATGTCAGCGGTGCGGGGGTGTATACCACTGGTGGACGTTGGTCGTGGTAAAAGGCGGCCCCGAGATCGATCAAGAGGACTCGGTCGACACGTAGACGGCGCTCCAGGGCCGCCATGTCCCCAGGCTCGACGGTATACTCGGGGGCGCTGGCTAGCATGGGCCCTCCATCTAGGCGACGCACTGGATGCTTGATGGGCTGGCCGATACAGGCGTAGAGTTCCTCCTCGGTCCAGTGATCGAACCGCTCGAGCTGCCACAGAATGTTTGACGTGTAACAATCTGTACCTGTCAGTTCATCGGCAAGAAGACGTCGAGTGTAGACGAAGACGACTCACCAGCATGCGCAATGCCCAGGGCGTGAAGGTAGCCCAGAGCCTGGGCAATCTGGAGACCGACCATCCGCGGCCAAGCCAGGTCGCCATACGGCAGATCATCCGGCCTTGCCAAGCGGTCGCCTGCCACATCAGTCACGAGACAAGTATGCTTTCCATTCGGACCATCGACGGTGAAGCTGTCCCGAAGCTGGACTACGAATTGCTTGCCAGGGTGTGGCAGCTGCGTGTCGCGAATTTGCTGCAGGATGCGAAGCTCCTGGCTCTCGGGCGGTGTGTTGGCGGACATGACCTTGAGAGAAACGTACGCGTTGTTCACGGTGTCCCTAGCGAGCCAGACCGTGGCAAAGCTGCCAGAGCCCAGTTTGTGCACGATTCGATAGCGGCCGTTCTCGAGAACATCACCGATGAGAAGTGGATGGAGGGCATTTTTGTGGTATCGATCAGGATCTTCTGCAAACTTGGACGTGGATGGAAAGTAAGTCCGGGACATTGTAGGAGGTTTAGACAGAGTTTCGAGAAAAAGAAAAAGAAAAAATGAAACTATAAGATAGATAGGAAGAAATGAATTAGGATGAAGAATGCAGAAAGCAAGGGATGGCGCTGCCAGGTGTGTAGAAATATAACATCGGTGGCGCGGATGCTCCAGGCGGACCACTCCCTCACTCCTCGAGATCTTGCCCCGATTTCCGGGCTGGCATCTATAACGGCCGTGGGGAGACCCGGAGGCACAGTCATCAATTATTACAATATTTTAGATATTCATCTACAACAACTGTACTTGTCATTTTCCTTGCTGGGTCGAGTTTCGCGGCCTCAGATGCTAGCCTTTTCCACAAACTCGGGCTCTTTCTCCAGGTCACCATCCTCATTGAACCAAAGCCTGGCAAAGACGTACTTGTTCAGGCCGTCTCTTACCCAGGCATCACTTTGAAAGTGCACGTCAATCCACGGCCCCTGCGACCTGTATCGGTACTTCATAATCATGTCCCTGACAATCATCAGCACTCTAGCTGGCAACAGAGGGTAAAGAAATACTAGTTCTGGTATACGCACTGAACACAGGCGTGAGAGTAGCCCCTCGCTTCGGCCATCTTCTGAATGTGGTCTGTGATGCGGGCCTTTTCTGCAGCGTAGCGAAAGTCATCCTCCCACCCAATGTACTCGACTGTGACAGGCTGAGCCATTGCCGTGACGCTTAGAACGAGATAAGTTTTGGATGAAGAGGTCAAAGGAGTATGACAACTGTGAAGAAAGGCAATAGTGGTCAAGTAAATTAAGTACAGTATTGACTTTTGGCAGCAGCGACGCCGGCCATCAAAGAGTCGGAGGCAATGAATGGAACTGCCAGTTGGTGCAGCGTCACACCAAAGAAAAAGCCTTTGTGTGGCGCTTCACAGACATGACACTGGGCTCATGCAAGCCACGTATTTAATCCCGCAGGGTGTCCCCCGAGCCACCCCTTTCAGAAAGCTAGGATGGCACCGTGTAACCGACACCGCCAACGTCATGTCTTGGATTGCTGTACGACACAAAGCGCAGCCCCAAAGTCAGTCTTGAGTGTCACAGATCCCATGACTGATTCAGCCAGTCAGTGGTAGGCGTGCCTGCCAACACCCCGAGCAGCTTTACCTGCCCTTCTCTCACAACAACGACAACCTCGACGCCTTGCTCACAATCTTGACCAATCTACCTAGTTTCCCGCCCTTCTGATACTCTTCTTTACCTCGTGTACGCCGATTTCAGTACAATTCAAGCCTTTTATTCGCACTATTTGGCCACAGCCCGCTGCTGCGAGTGCCTCGCGCGATGGACTCCTCAGAACTGTGCGTTGCTTTGAGCTCGACTCACCCGCGCCCCATCAGTAGTCAATAGGATGAACTAATCGTATCAAGTGAGAAATTCTTCATCGATCGTCGGGAAAAGACCGTATTGCAATGCGAAGCATGCCTAGATCCGGATGACCTGGCGGAGGTGCGGCAGGTTACTTCCTGGGAGGCGTTCCGAAGCAAGACGCTCAGCGACACGACCCCGTTTGAGATATCACTCATCGAACCAACGCTCTGCCACTTGCGCCAGTTCACAGACACGTTTGACACCACGCTGGCCGCTGGCCTCAGGGCAGACTTCTTTTGGGGAATCCTCAATCTGCTTCTCAAGGTAAAAGGCTTCGACCGCAATTTCCGTATCAGCTTTTTATTTTTTGTTCTGCATTAACAAATGCTTTTAGGTTACAGCCGAGGATCCCACAGCCCTCAACAGGATCCCCAGAATGATCAAATCCGTGGGCTACAAGGCAGAAGCTTTCATGGCGCTATATGCGCTATACGCAACGTCACTCGAAAATCGGGGCAAGATGAACGAGGCTTGCTTTGACATCCAAGCCCAGCTGGTACGCTTCTTCACCGCTGCGATCCAATCTCTGCGCGGCAAAAAAGAGAGCACAACTACCCGTATGTCCCGTCAAAGTGGTAGAGGCAGTTGGTCAATCGCGCAGATAATAACCCAAAATGTTGACACAGATGACGAGGGCGATTCCTGGCAGCTGCTTGAACGACGCTTTACGTCGACCAAACAGGAGCTCACCGAGACACTGGCGCGAGTGGAGGGGCTCGCTGCTGTTCGTAGCAGGGCCGACCACGGCAGCAGCGCGGCGACGACGCCCCGCCTCCGCTGCTTGATGATCCCGACCAGGGAAGTCCCCCGCTGCTTCCACAGGGCTGACATGTTCGACAGGATTGACCAGGCCCTGGGCGGATCGGGATCAAGTACCGCCTTTCGTTCGGTGGCGCTGTACGGGATGGGCGGCATTGGGAAGAGCTCCGTCGCGGCAAGCTACATTGCGCGCAGGTTTGAGGAGGGCGAGTATGACGCCGTCTTCTGGGTGTATGGAGAAACAAAGGCATCGCTGCGTCAGAGCTTCACGGATATTGCAACGCGGTTGAGGCTAGACGGTACAAAGCCAACTCTTCACGACGATAATCTTATCCTGGTTCAGAACTGGCTTCAATCGACAGGTACGTGAGAAAGATTGCCCCTTCTTTTCTGCTGTCAGTCTCTGCCACATCTTCCCTTATTGTTGTCACTTTTTTCCCTCTTGACTCAGAAAAGCTAGAGATGATATTGTGCTAGGGCTTCTTGGCACCTCCATGTATACTCATCTCATTGCCATCTCTCATTGTACTGTCTTGATCCATTCAGCTAATCAGCCCACAGAATGCAAATGGTTGATTGTATACGACAATGCGGAATCGGCTGATCTACTGACGACCTACTGGCCGGAGACGAGCCATGGCAGGGCGATCATCACCACCCGAAACCATGCCCTGGCCTACGAACCTGCCTCTGCCGGCCTGGAGATGACCTCTTGGGACGAGCGAGAGGGATCCGAGTTTCTGTTGTTTCTTCTCAAGGACAGGATTGGCAAGGACATTGAGGCGGAAGGCCTCTCGGCATGCGAAATCTCCAAGAAGCTCAGCGGCCATGCACTGGCCCTCTCCAGTGCGGCCGGGCTCATCCAGAGACGATCCTGGTCCATTGCCGAGTACATGCGCGTCTATCTGGAGAACCCGAGAGGAGCCCAGGAAAACGAAATGCAAGCTCTGTGGGACCTGACCTTTTCGACACTGGACAAGGACAGCCGAACCCTTTTGGGTATTGCGTCCTTTCTTGTCTCGGAATACATCCCACAAGTGTTATTCGAGTTGGGCGGTGATGCTGACTTGTCAGACGACCTGCAATTTTGCACCAAGGCCTCTAGGTCAGTATGCCTTTCGCAACATCGAATGGGCCCGTGGCTACTGCACACCGGCGTCTCCGCGGCCATCAAGGCGCTTTCGGCGCTTGCTCTCATCAAGCAAGACACGGATGCCCGCACATTCTCCTGCCATCGCATGGTGCAGACGCAGTTCCGGTTGTACCTCCCCCTCGAAGAGCGACAGACGGCCTTTTACCATGCAGCCGATCTCCTGTACCGAGCGTTTCCCAAGCAGACGGATGCAAACTCCCACCAGCTGTATCGGCACTGGAACGAATGCAATCAACTGTTGCAGCACGTGCTCAGCCTCAAGGACAATTTCAAGCAAGACCCCAACCTCTGCGACGGGTCCAAGGTCTCGACCTTTTGCGAGCTGTTGAGAGACTGCCAAAGGTAGGAGACCGGTTCCAATGGGGCGCCAGTGACGGTATGTATTGACGAACAACAGATATCTCTTCGAAGCAAATGCGCTAGACGACCTTGACGATACTTGCAAAGTCAGCCTTTTAGCAGCAAAGGCGCTCGATGACAAAGAGAAGGCGGCAGACCTCATTGCATGGACGCTCTCGATGCAGGCCAACATGTACGAAAGCATCGGCAGGGTCGAAGAGGCGATTGCGCTCAACCGGAGAGGCTACGAGATGAGGCTCGGCGAGACGCCGCCCAAGGGCGGGCTGCTCGGCGGATTCCAGCAAAACCTGGCCTACAACTACAACACGGCCAACCAGCACGAGACGGCGCTCGAGTGGTTTGAAAAGGCCAAAGAGCAGTGGACCGCGCATAACGTCCAGCAAGGACGGGAAGCAGACTGGCCAGCAGTGACGAAGAAGAACACGGCGCGATGCCTGGTCTACCTGGGCCGCCACTCCGAGGCCGAAACGTTGCTCAACGACTCTATTGTCCAGTTCAAGGCGGAAAAGGTCTTGAACTGGGCCATGCTTGCCTAGTAAGTTGAATCGCGCTGTGCTTTTTTTTTTTTTGCCAGCCACGTCCCTGTCACGAAGCCCCCAGCCAACTGACTTTGCCCGTTCTGCAGCGCATATTTCGTTCAAGGCACCCTGCAGCGCAAGACCAACAGGCTCGAAGCGGCGGAAGCCAGTTTCATCGGGGCGCAGAACCTGTGGCTGCGAGGCGACCACACAAAACTGCATCCATTCTACGCCGGCTGCATCTACAAGACCGGAGTGCTCTGCCTCGAGCAAGGCAAAGTCGCGGCCGCCGTGTACGCATTTCCACCCTCGTTGGCTAGGTCTGTAAAGCTAACAGTTCTCCAGGAAGTACCTTCGCGAAGCAATGGACATGACCAAGTTCCACGCCAAAGTCATGCCTGTTGAGCACGCTCGCTGTCTATTCAAGCTGTCAGAGGCTCTGGCGCAAGATGGATATGCCGGCCACGCGGAGGAGGGCAGAGGCCTGCGAGACGAGGCGGAGATGTTTCTGTCGCGCAGGGATCCCCAGGCGACAGAGTTTGGCAAGGAAGATTGCTATGATGTGTTTGTGCCCATCTTTTGGCGCTAGATCTTTTTACGCAGGGTGAATCTATCCTGCAAGGCTGCTCCTGATTCGGCTCGTGACCAGTTGGATATCGGTCGCCTGACGAGAGTCGATGGCCGGGCGCGTGGCCATTGAGGCAGGAGCGGATGCACTAGGGATTAGAGAGGCCTGCTCTAGCTCGTGGTATTTTCTCTGCTATTTTACGGCTCTCAATCAGTTATGAGACCAAGGACCGCAGTGTCCACGGCTTTCGCACTCCCCATATTCGCCAGCAACTGTTACGTGCAAAGAACGCAACGGGGTCCAGTGCCGCGTCCGTCGATTTCCATGTCCATTCTCGTTGCTTGTGGCCACGCAGATGCACAAACAGTCAAGGACCAGTAAACGAAGTCAAATTGGCTCTGTTTGAGCGTGCAAACGTGAAGAATGCCTGACTGTTAAGCGGTGGGTGGCAGTCGTTAGCGGCAGTCGTTAGTCGGTATACCGGTACAAATTACACTTGCCTAGCTGCACTGCATCTGCCCTGCTAATAGGAGGTATGTACTCTTATTGGGAGCCCAATTGCTGCCCAACAATTAAAATTAAAATACACTATTTCTCTTGTATGAACCAACATTTCCCCTTTGATCAATCGTCATCTAGACGGGCGAGTTTAAGCTTTATTTCATACAGCCGCGAAAAACTTCTTGTTAATGCGGAAGCGCACAATTGCCAATAGAATGGCAGAAATCAGCGCCAGGCTGCCTGCGTAAAACATGGCCGGGCGGTAGGCCTTCAGGCCACCACTAGCACCACCAAAGGCCTCGAGGAGGTAGCCGGCGATAGGCGAGCCCTATGATAATGTTAGAGGAGAAAGTAGAGTGTTGGCAGCAGTCAAGAGAAATACAGACCAGGAGATAACCGCCCGCCCAAGCAGTCATGATCATGCCCATGACGACACTCACGCGCTGGCTCCCAAACATACTGGTGGCAACAGTGGGCGTGCAGGAAAAGAAGCCCCCATTCGAGACGCCGTTGAGAATGCAGAAAATGGCCAGGGGCGTGATGGACTGCGAGACTGGCCAGATGACAAGCATAGAAAAGGCCGACAGCAGCAAGGACGCCAGCAGCACGTTCACGGGACCGAACCGGTCGCAGCAAAAGCCGCAGATAATACGACCAATGGCGGATGAGAGGGTGAAGCCGGCCACGAGACCGGCGCCGGTGCTGGAAGAGAAGCCCAGCGCTTGACTATAGAGGGGGAGGAAGAATGGAGGAACAAAGATGGGAAAGTTGCCTACCGCGGCACACAGCCAGAGGAGAGTAAAGTTTGTGTTCTTGAATAGTTTCCTGCGGATAACGAGTCAATGTCGATGAGCGGAGCCGAGGGCCCAAGGCCACTTACATGTCAACAAAGCGCTTGTCAGGAATCTTTGTTCGTTCCGTCATGAACCAGCCGGCGAGCACACCCGTCGCCATGGTCACGAGACCGAGCACACGAAACGCCCAGGCAATGCCCAGGTTGCGGATCAGGGCATCCATGAAGAAGCTGTTTGTGGCGCCGCCAAAGCCGCTGCCCGCGAAAATGAGGCCGTTGGCAAGCCCGCGGCGGGTGTTGAAGTACTGCGCCGGCACGGCCGCGACGACGGCAAAGCCGCAGCTGCCGCCCGCACCCGCGAGGAAGCCAAACGTGACGAAGAGGCCCGGTACGCTCTCGGTGCAGAAGCTTGCCAGGACGCCGGCGAGGCCCATGGTGAGCATGCCGAGCATGGCGAGCCTGCGGGACCCGAGCCAGCGGCGCATGACGAACGCGTCAAGCACCGCGAACCAGGCCGGCATGGACGCCTGCAGGGAGCCGATGAAGGACAGCGTGGCCGGGCCGGCCAGGTGCTCCTCGACGAGCGTGCGCTGGACGACGCCCCAGGCGTACGTGGTGCCCGACGCCCACCACATGAGCATGGCGCCGCTGAGAACAATGACCCAGCCGTAGCCGCCGTCGGGGCACTCCTCGTCGAGCGCGCGCGAGGCCGCGATGATGGCGGCGTCGTCGTCGTCTGTGCTGGTGGGCGGGGGCGGTGGTTGCGCGCCGCGTCGGCGCGTCGTTGTCGATGTGTTCAAGGTGAAGTCGTGGGTGGCTTCGGCGCCGGTGTTGATGGGCGCGGAGAGGGTGGCGGCATCGTAGTCTTTCAAGCGGATGCTCGCGGTGGCGGTTCGGGTTGAAGCCATGGTGACAGTCCGGAGGGTAAGCAGTGCCCAGAGTGGCCGTGACAAGCGTCGAGACTGGTTCGTTGCCTGGTGAGTGAAGAGGAGATGGCCAGACAGCACAGATGGGTAGTTGATGGGGTGAGGACGAAGAAAGGAGACATTGAGAGAGATCAAAAGTCGATGATAGAATGCAAGGGCCAGAGCAGCAGCCTGCTCGATTCGCGTGTTGCTGACGGAATGACACAAGATGAGTCGAGGTGCATGAGCTGGCCCACAAGAAGCCGATTTCTGTTTGCCACACCAAAAAAGTGCGTGCCGGACGCCGAGCGCCCGCAAGTGACAGCGGAAGAAAAGGAATGTGGCTGATGGAGAACAGATGGGGATGGGTAAGGGCTACATGATAGAGAGCAATGCTACGTCGTCGAGGGCTCGACGCATCCCGCCGTGATGCCGCCTCCAGGTCCGGGAACAAGCGGCAAGATGTTGTGATGCTCAATCGGGCTCTTGGCACGGCCGCGACAGTTCGGCCGAAGTCATCGGCCGATCTTTGCAGTGGAACCACTCCTACGGGATGATGAAGGATGAAGAAGGGGCCGCAGATGAGCGGCTGACAGTGGCGTAATTTTCGAGGCCAAGCTCAAGGTAGTTAACTAGATGCGTAAAGAGTGGAAAGAATCCACTGAGCAGGACGACGGCATGGCAGCTTGCCGAACAGGATTGAGTCCATGTAACGAAGCAAAAAAGTAAGGAAACGAACAATTGAAACCTGTTTGCCGCTTCATTTTATAAGAGCAGGCACGGCAAGAAGAGAGCGTACAGTGCGTGATAAAATTAAGCGCACGGTGGAACACACCAGAGGGTTGGACAGTGTGCCAAGAAGCCAATCACGGGCACTGAATCCCACAATACAGAGCCAATACGGCAATTCCCGCTGGCTGAGACAAATGATTACATCGTTCTAGTTCCAGTGCACATCTATGCCTCATTTCCTCAAATGTCGCGCATCAGCCTGACTGGCAAAAACTGGGACAAGTGCACCTACATAAATGCATCGAGTAACTGCCGAGTATTCTGTGACCCGATTGCACGGGAATTCATCCCCCCGGTGGTAGCGGGCATTCTTTTTCTTCACCGCGGAACCACGATAGTGGAGAGTTGACTTTGCCAATGTATAGCCATGCGGACCATACAGACCGGACAACGGAAGAAACGATGCCACATCCGGATTAGGATCGGCCGGCTCAGGATCGGGTTGAGCCAGCGGTAACCTTGGTGGCTGAGATGAAAGCAGCGGCACAAGATTGCGAGGCGCAAGACGGCCCTGTCTCTACGGCGCAATTTTATGCGCGCCCGCAAGATCTACGATGCGTATCTAAATCAAGTCAAAAAAAGCAACAAAACCCCGCTAACAACATTCCTTCTTGTCTTGAACACTTTGGAATCCTGACGTATACGCCACGTGGGATCCTCGGGTCCCATAGCATCCGGCTCGGGAAAGCCCATCCCGGCTTCCCCCAAAACAACTTATACAAACATACATTTGTTTTTTTTCTTACTAGGCATTGCGAGCAGCGTAGACTACAGCATCGAGCTTATAATTGAGAATGCTACCGAAACAAATGCACATAGCTGCCTCTGATCCTTGTCCTCCTCTGCAGATGAAACGCTCTCTGAAATCAGGTAGCTGGCCCCCCGCTGCAGCCCCGCGCCGACCATGTTGCAAAACACAGTCCCTCTCAGCGACGACGAAATCAACGAGTTTGTCGACTTCTTCGACACCAGCGCCCCCGCCGGCGGCATCCTGTGCTCCGCGCTGGAGCAGCGTCTCGAGCAGACGCGCCGCGAGCTCGCCCGGCCCGCCGCC